CCTGGCAAGGGGTTGTGATGATCCACGTTTTGTCCTTCAAAGTCACATCCTAGTTCATCCACTTGTGAAAAATGTGCGTCGGTAAACTTTTGCTCTTTGTGGGCGCTGTGACCATGCATGCGTATTGTACCTCTCATTGTGGCTAGGGTGGCTTAAGGTGTGAATGGAGACTTGTTGTGAGATTTGGACACGTGACGTTGGAATCTATCCGCTCTGTGTGCCAGTGTAAGTGCCAGCTTTGACCGGCATTGGTTAAATCAACTCTTCAGGCATGGCCGTTCGGAAGGCGCAAGACAAGCAGGAAAATTGCATGGAACCATCCTTAGGGATTCCCTTTCCCGCTTCTCCTTGGTGGTTTCCTGGTTGTGGCCTCCGGTTGCGGCACTCGAGCTTCGAGCAAAGTGGCCCGCACACTCGCACATTGCGGGGAGTTTGGTCCAGCTTCCAACAAATTCCACTCTAAACACCATTATCAAAATTTTGATTTGCCACGACAAGCCTTGTGATAGGAAATGTGAATTTGCTCTGGTGCTTCTTTTTCAGCCTGACAGGTTGGTGGGGACCACAAGGATTACAGGGGGTTTCTGGCTTTCCCAGGACACAGGAAGTTCGTTTTTGCGAGCAGGGTTGGGGTTTGCCGAGCTGCTTTCTCCCATTCACTGGTTGGGTAGTTAGTTAGGTAGTTCAACTTGGATAGGCTGTGTCGTTCCTCCATAAAACGCAAGAATCCACGACATGTGGATGTGAAGTTGGCCAAGAACATGTCAGCCCCAGTGAAATGTGCTGGGCGGCCAAGTGATCAGAGTAACCTGTTTGGCGATGAATGCCACTATCATCCTGCTGCTCCACGGCTCAATTGGAAATGGTTCACTGTATGCGACTTGAAGGAGTCCTTCCTCCTGAGCATGCCGCCCATCCAAGTTGGTGTTTGCAGGCCTTTTGCTCCTGGAAGTTTCCTCTTTGCGCGCCCGGCGCACAGCTGCGCAAAGGTTGCTCAGGGTCGCCCAGTCCGGCGCTTCGGACGGTGGGTCGTCCCCCAACAACGGCTTGCCAATGCCACGGCTCCCTCTGATCCGCACCGTTTGGGTTTCCTCCAGAACAGCGCCGCTCGCACAGTTCTTAACCTCACTTGTGGCGGAAGGCAAGCCGCTACTATCAATTCTTGCAGGCTCGAAACTTGCCTTCCTGAACTCGCAGAACAAAAAGTCAGACCTCAATGCAGGACACAGGTCAAAGTGCAAAACACATATACGGTGCGGCCTCCCAAGTTTCAGCAATTGAGATATATGCCTTCATGCTGGCGGGCGCAATTTGCACGCATCACGTAACATGTAAAGTTCAAAAACTGCAAGAATCGAATGCGTTTCGGACACGCATTTGTGGTCGCACCTTGGCTCTCTTCGTGTGCAGCGGCCCAATGGCGGAGGCCCCTGACATGTCATGTTTGTCCGCCCTTGTGGCCTTGTTGTTTGTTTGTTTCCTCGAGCCTTTTGTGCGGGCCAACTGGGCTGAATCGGGTTGGGTTGTGGACCCCGCTAGCATCAATATCTTTTACAAAAAATTTAGGGCCCATCACCACGCAAACAGGGCGCTTGCCGGGTTGGGCGGAAGCCGTGTCGGCCACGCAACTTGCGCGGCGGCAAAGTTCGTGTTGACGTTTGACGAATAGTTCTTATTGCTGGCCTTGCCAACCTTGCTGTGGTTGACCCTTGACAGGGAGACATTTTTCAACATTCACGCTTGCTCCAAATCCATTCAAGTCTTGGTGCACAACCCGTCTAGCAGACATGCAATTTTGCATTGCGCCCAATGGGGTTAACTGAATGGAACCGCTTGTTTGTGGAGGGCTGCAGCAGCACCCGGCGTCGGCACCCCCCAGAGCTCTTGCCACAAGAAATGTCGTTTAGTTGACGACCCAACGGCTCTCAGCAACAATGGTGACGGTGCTGCATGAGCTCCTTTTGCGACTCGGCTGTTCAGCAGGGAGACAAAACGTCAATCACCACCTTGATCAAGCAGCTTCTTGTCACGGCCAACAAACGCGCTGCTCTCCAGGATGTTGATATGTCCTGGCTTGGGCCACCACCAGTCAGACAGAGTACGCCATCCATCCTGTAGCGGGAGGTTGTCAAGGACAACGCTCTCAAGCCTGGTGGGGCTCGAACTTTCTTCTTTGAGCGGCTTGGTGCGGGATTTCGCGAAGCACTGTGCAACCTGTTCAGCAACGCCAGGGTGATAGACAGCGGCGCTTGCCTTGGTTAGCTTTCTTTCAATTCAAATATGCGGATGTCCACCAGGGCAAGGTACTTTGAACATGTGCATGCCTAGGTCCCACCCCAATAGTTGCCAGAATTTTTTTGTGAAGGGAACCCAAGGCACAAGAGTTCAGGATAGCTTCAAGGAAGCCAAGGCAAGGGTGTCTCGAGAAGTGAGGGAGTGCCGCACCGCCACGCAAACCAAAAGATAGCGAAACTCCGGAAGGCGAGAAGGTTCCCCAAGAATGTCTTGCGATCTTTGCTGTCAAACTTGATAGGACCGATGCACGATGTTGTACTGCTCACAAACAAGGCGCTTGATACGTTTTTCCTTGATCATTTGAAAGATCCAGTCGACCAACTTCTGGTCCCGATGTCATGATGAGGGCTGTGAGAAAGGTCAGTTGGAGTGCGAAGCTGCGACGGCCCCGGGGGGAGCTTTATGATTGCCCGTGATGGTTGGCTCCTCATCACGATCGTGGCCGACTGTTCGCAAGACAGCCCTTGCAGGAGGGACTAGCATGGTGTAGGCTCCTTTCTGGCCATCCCCAAGCCAGAGCAATTCGGAGAGCTCTATACACCAATTTTCTTGGCGGTAACCGCTCCTTTTCTGTTTGAGGCATCGGTGGCTTATATGTATGCTCACCGTAGGGTACCGAGATGTCAGCTGCACAAGACCAAAAACGCTAGCTAAGACCAACTCTTTTGCAACTGGGCTAGGCAACTGCAGTGCCTCATTGCCATCATTGGCGGTTTTGGTTCCAAAGCTGAAGCGGTCAGAGGGCACACAACAGAGGCACCTGCGGCACATGAGGTTTGATTTCCCGCTAATCGCGAAGTCAAAGTCTTTGTGATGACTGGAGGTGGGGCAGCCCCGGAAATGAAGTGGCGTAGAATGCAGTCCCGTGGTTGACAGGGGAACTCAAACCGTAACAGTCGGCAAAGTTCTTCAACGGGTTGGTTCCCCAAGGCCAGGGCAGCGGCCCCCCACGCCGAGAACCTTTTCAGAGGGCCACGTATCTGCCAGTGACCTTACATGGGAGGTCGTGCCCCAGTTTGTGTACTGTTGCTGGTATGCAGTCACCTCTGCCGCGCAACTTCGGCAACATGGATGGGCACCCTCAAGCCGGGAACAGTTGGCTAGGGGAAAAGTGCGACCGGTGGCAACAACCAGCCACACCGCTTTCTGCACCGAAGTGCTCCAGTCCATCCCCCCGCCAGCCAAGCAATGTTGGCCCGCCCATTCACAACCATCCCCTACCATCCCAACACCACTTACCCCACACATTTGTTCCGCCTGCTGCTCCTGCGCCGTCTGCGGTTGCCACTTGGCTTGACCGCACGCCAGTGCCGGTGCCATCGCACTCTTGACCCCTTCGGCGGCCACCGGGCTGCGTGCCCCCAAGCGGGAATCTTGCGAGGCAGAGGTGTTCCATTGGAACGCGCAGCGGCCACGATCTGCCGAGAAACCGGGGCCCGGGTCACCACCCATACCCGCGTTGCGGACCTCAACATTGACCAGCTCCACCGCTACGATGACCGCCGAATCGAAGTCATTGCAAATGGCTTGAACCTGTGGGGTGGCCCCCAATTAGCCGTTGACACCACTTTAGTGTCCCCCCTCACTCGGGACGGACAGCCCCGCACACATGCAGGCACCTACCGGGGGGCAGCCCTGCACGCAGCACGACGGAGCAAAGAACGAACATACCCAGAACTTCTGGCGACCCGCCGGTGCAAGCTCGTCGTGCTCGCCATCGAAGTCGCGGGGAGGTGGAGCCAAGAAGCAGCCACCTTCATCCGGCCCTTGGCTGCGGCCAAGTCCAAAGCCGGCAGGCCCCCGCACTCCTGCAACCAGCCATCCTAACCGCCTTGTTCCCCAGAGTTTTGCAGCCACCCTCCTCACTGAAAAAAGATTCCCCCCCCAGCACAACGTCGACAACAACTCCCTTTCCGTCAGCCAATTGCTCGCGGAATCCCCACTGAGTCATTGATGGTTCAATTAAACCCGCCCCTGCCCCCACTTGATTTGATTTTGAAATACAGACCCCGTCCCCATGAAATTGATTTTTAAATTCAGACACCCTCCCTGATTGCACCAACCGCCGCTCCAACCCGCATATAGATTTGCAACCCTTGTTTGCGCCCACCGCCGTTTGCACTCAATCACGCTTCTGTTTCTTCTGTTCTTTTCCGCTGTTCTACTTTTCCTGGCTCCTTGTTTTCAAGCATGTTTACGAGTGTTTCGGACGGATTGTGGGCCGGTGTAAGGTTGGATGATACGGAACCTAACACGGCAGTCTTCCCTTCCCATGTTCCACGCATCGGTCTTGGTAGTGTCCTCAGTGCCGTTGGACACTCGGATGGTATTTTTGCGCGGAAAGCAAGTCTAATTGAGGCTTCGGTCTTGGATAGTCGAATTGAATCTATTTTTTCGTTTTCGCACGTGCATACTGAGCAGGAAAAACAGGCGACGGTTTGCTTGTAGTTGACCTGATGATTTCACAAGTGGCCTGGGACGTTCGTATGTGTCTTGCCGCTGGTTGAGTAGCAATGTAAGGTTGAGCAACAATGTAAGGGGTCCTCGGATCAGCGCTTCGAAGGGAAACGGCTGAAGGAAGGAAACAACAAATTGGATCTCAGAGGGCTTAAGTTACCAGCGCCACTTGATTGGAAACCACTACTGTTAAAAAAACACATTGTTTGCTCATGGTAGGCGTAGCCAAGACGAATTTCGGCAAGACGGCACGACTTACAGTATACAGTATGTGCTTGTAGTCTGTGGAAAGCACGCGTGACACAGAACACCCGTCAGGATTGCAGTTGACATGTGTTCACTTCATGCCATGATCCTCGATGGTTGACATGGCCAAACCATCCATTTGGAGCATCGAGGCAGGCCTTTTTGTATGCTCTTGATTGTTTGGCGGCACTGTTTCATCAACTTGTTGTGTTGGATGTGAATGTCAACGCTGCGGGTTGTTTTGTGATTGTCGCGGTGCCCTGTCAAGGCCACTTGTCCAAGAACAGTTGCTCGCCAGGACCCATGCAGTGTGCGCCGGAGTCAAAGTCACCTTATTCTTTTCTGGGAGGCGGAGCTGGCATTGCACCAAAGTCAATGTGCAACATGCGCCCGTGCGAGTTTGAATTGGTTTTGGACTTGCGTGTGAATTTGGAGTTGGGCAGATTGAACGTGCACCACTAGGTGCATTTGTTTTGATGAACGCCTAATTTTGTGAACAGGTGGCAGCACCAAGGACAGGGTTCGGGGTAAGATGGGTTTTGGTGTGTGGTACCATGTGGTTTCGTGACGAGAAAAGAACGGTAGAAGCGGTCAAGAAGCGGTAGACGTAGCGATTGGCGGATCTGGTCAGTTTCTCCGCCGATGCCGGGGGTGCCGTCCAACAAAAATCTGTCTACGACACCCCGGATGATAACCTCAACCCCCAGAGTCTTCGCAAAAACACCTCACCGGCGTGTGGAGGATCCGGGCGCGTGAGTTCCTCACGGTGGATTTGTCCAAGAGATCCTTGGCCACGTCCTTTCAGGCGGAGCAGGCGCACGGGCCGGCCGCTGGCCGCGCAGATGCGGAGTGGGGGGGGTATTTTTCCAGGTGCTTCGGGACAAAGGCAACAACCCAGTCGTGACTTGAAGTTATCCCCGGCTGCTACTGCCATATTGTTTTAAAACCCCCTTTGTGTTTGGTTGTTGTTGTGTTGTTGCCAGTGGATGCACCCATCCACCCTTGACGTGCGTCAGGAAGTGGTGGAACATGACTGTGGGCACCTAGGCGTTGAAGAACCGGTTGTAAGTTGTAAGTGGTATCCAACAACTGGGGTGGCCTTCTAGAGATTCGCTGAGACGTTTTCAACGCCAATGATGCTTCCAACGTTTGCAATGACAACACGTGGGTTTCCACTGTGTCGCAACAAAATGTTTCTGAGGTATTGCTTGGCACCTGGAGAGAAGAGATGTTGCGAGTTCCAAGAAGAAGGCACAAGTTAGAAGACGCGCGGACATTATATTGCAGACAAGCAATGGCTTGAATGTGTATCGAAAAATTCCTGGAAAACTTCGCCCGAGGTAGTTGTCAGACGTGCTGCGCGGAGCACTACACGGAACCCTACTGCATGTTGAATTGCCAGAAGAGACTTGGCCATGTCAAGCAGTGCGAAACGGGCTCGCGAAAGGTCCTGCAGGGGCCATCACGAGTCTTTGATGACCGCATTTGTTCGTGTTTCACCAGGGCGTGCCACTCATTTTTCTCTTTTCTTTTGGTGCAGTTCATGCCTCAGGATGTGCCGGCGAGGCATGTTTAAGGCCTTTTCGGGTGGCAAGAGGAATGTGCCGGTCTGCCCCAGCAGTGGCCCTGTGAAGGCTGGCGTCCCTGCGCGGTCGTGACAATGACCGAGGGTTGAACGTTGACAGCATTGCGCCCCTTCATTTGGAGTCGCGGTGTAGCCGATGCTTTGCGGGGCTGACCTAGTGTTGGGTCTTTTTGTGTGTGTGTTTGCTGACCCTTCCTTTGTTTGGAGATTGCGGTTTGTGTTCCTGTTTTCCCCGCCTGCCTCTGCGCCTTCTGGCGCCAACGTTCGGTGTGGGGTGCCAGGCCCTCGAGGCCTACGACTTGGAGAAGGTGGATGACCCTCGGCAGCACGTGTCATACAACCACCTTGTAAAATCAAGACTGGTCGGATGAGTGAAAGGGGCGGATGAATCATTTCTCGCTGGTTGGCACGCACTTGACTACTGGACCCTTTGGACACCAAACGCCACGTTGATGGACTGTTGCATCGGACCCACTTGCCACTTGCCACTTGCGCTCCATGCAGCCACGCGTGGCAAATCCCCACAGCTGAGGGGAAGTTTCTGAACCCCTACTTGGACTGGAAAGGTCCCAAATTTGAGAAGGACAGGGTCCCGAGGGTCCGGAGCCTCGGTGCACGGTCGTTTCCTAATGTTTGGGGCACCCATAAACATCTATAAACCCATAAAGAAACCGTTTTGCAACTGAACGCGTTTCGCAACTAAAGGCCTCCATTTCGCAAGTTAGGATTTGCCTGTTTTCGCTGTTGAAAGGGCGCCCTCTGCCTGCCGGGGGGCGGGTGGGTTGCGGAAACAGGCAAGTCCACAACTATTGCAATTAGCGGGTCACCATTCTGTGGTTAAGTCCGGGCCTGGAAGAATCCTCTGCTGGCGGGGCTCCATTCCCACCGAAACACCATTATCCGTGGGTGGCCGGGCGTGGGTGGCACGAGCGTGACATGTTTTTGTGCGGCGACTGATGTGTATGTATGGTATGGTATGGTATGGTATGGTATGGTACGGTAGGGTATGGTATGGTATGGTATGGTATGGTAAGGTAAGGTAACGTAACGTAACGTAACGCAACGCAACGTAACGTAACGTAACGTAATGTACGTGTGTGTATTCTGTTTGCATGCGATGCATTTTCAAGAGGGAAACCCCCAAAATGGGCTTGCAGGGGGGCCTCGTTCAATGGGAGGTCTTCCCATTTTAATGCACTCTGACTCACTAACATGGAAGTGGAAGGATGGTCCCTTGGCAGACTGCTCTCCTTTACGAACAGGGGGTTTCCCACTTCATGTGATGTGTTCGTCGGAGTGTACGCATCCACTTGTCTCAATCCGCTTTGACCATTGCCTGAGAGGAGTGGCTCGAAACCCATCCCCTGGAGCTGCCTGCTCCAACGACGTCGGAGCAATGACCTCCGGCTGCGGCGAGTGCGGCGATCAAAAGCGTGATTTTAGATTCATTTTTCGGGAAGGTTGATGAAGGTTAAGGCCTTTTCGAACAGCTTTTTGGGGGTCTGGAGCGTCGAATTGGAGTGTTTTCTTCTTTTTCTCTTCTCTGTGCGGCGAGCGGGCACTGTAGGGTTTTGACACTTTTTGAGCAGCTTGCTTCAGGCAGATGGTGGGTTGTGGCATGTTTTTGGGTGGGGCCATTTCAGCTTCGAAGTTAAGAGTGAACCAGTTGCACAGTTGAAGATAGGAATGATTGCAAGCCAGTGTAGCCAGCTCACACGATGGGCCTATTTGCCAGCCACCCACGCACTGAACCCGTTTTTTTTGGGTATTTTGATAGCATGCGTCGAAGTCAATCCAGTGTTGGAGTGGTTTGGTTGCAGTTTGCCCAAGACACCACACCACCAACCCAGCGCAGACATCCCTCGAGTATATAGTCAAAAACAGATTTGCATTGCATTCCCCATGGATGCGTCCTTGTTACTAGTAGCTTCTTGTTCCTAGAAGTAAGGCCAGGAGCCCCTAGTAGCGTCCTTGTTCCTAGTAGCTGCCAGGAGCCCCGATCGTAGCTTTGTCTCTATACGTTTCTTCCCAATGGATGCGGCTGCTTTGCCGGACGTGGCTCCTCCCCGCGTGCTTCGCAGCGGCTGTGCCTTCCCCGCCCAGCAGCGGAGCGGCCTCGGCGGCACCGCAGGCGTTTTGGGCGTGGCTGCGTGGCTGACGGATTGGAGTGGCTAGGGCGGCTGGGTGATATGTATGCGTTCGTGACGTATGCCTTTAGGCTTCATTGCTGACCATCATCGTCCATAGAAAAGACGGGTGCAAACAAGGTCCAACATGGCTGCCAGGCTTTAACCCTGACTTGGGTGCCAAGTGCCAAAGGCCCCCGAGAGCATGTTGCATAGTTGGGTGGGCGTTGCACGTTCACTTTGGGAGTGAGATTGGCAGGATGCTTCGAAGGATTTCGAAGGGAAGGGAATCCTGGCGTCGTGTCAAACTCACATGACATACGAACTCTGATAGCTTCTCGCTGCCTTTAGGGAGGTCTAGCAGTGCAAGGTCCAAACCCAAGTTAGAACCCCACAAAGAGCACCAGCACTGAATAACTTGAGCCAGGGGACATTTTGCACTGCCATCCGATACACGGTTCTCATGGCTCCGGAGATGCCCCTCCCTGCCATCCGTCGTGGAAGTCGTGCGCACGCGGTTTCGTTGGTCCGGCATGCCGGATCGTGGACCTCGTCGTCGGCTCGAGGTTGGTGGACGAGGGAGTGCTGGACAAGAGCTACGTGGATTGGGTGAATTGCGATACCCAAGCTCACAGCGTGCACGGCAGCGCTGCTTCCAGCGCGGATCCGGGCACAGGAAGTCCATGGACGAAGTTCCGAAAGCTTCTGGTGCTCAGGTCGCACCGTTTCTGACCTGATCTCCTTTCTCGGTGGAGGCTCCCCAAATGCTCAAGAAGAAGCGGGGATAGGAGTAAGGACCGCGGTTTTGGATGCAACAAGTTCATTGGCGCGCGCGTGTTCCTGGGAAAACGATATGCAGACGATCACCTAAATTGTCATACCACTACCTTCCTTTTGGTTTGCCCTGTGGGGCCAGGGATTGGTAGGTATCGATTTTGAGAAAACATGACATCAGGAAGGATCTCACTACACCATTTCTCTCATAAATTTTGGCTAGTGCCCACCACGCAACAATTAAGTTAATCCCTTTCAGAATGTATTGGGAAGCTCTTCGGGGAACTGAAACCACCTCACAAGAATGAAGTTTTGACACGAACTTCATGGCCTTGGAACGCTCAGGTGCAACATTTGGAGGAGGGTCGTTGGAACTACGGCGAGCCGTCAGCCTGGGTGGTGACCCCCAGCCATTGGACCCTCATCAAGGAGGCAGGATCGTCAGTGTCGAAGATAGAACGAGAAAGATCCTAGTTGAGTGTTGCCATGCGTGGTCTTGAGCTAGGAGTGTTTGTTCTTCTGTTTTTTTTTTTTTTTTGGGGGAGTCAAGTTGAAGAAGCTCAGAAGTTCTTGGACGTGACATTGCCTTGTACCTAGCTCTTTGGGGAGCTGAGGAAGCCCCATGCAATCATGGACTCGGGATGAGTCTTTGGGACAACTTAAGCGGCTTACGGCTTAAGCGCATAACCTGACTGTGGAGCGACGACATACTTCATTTTGAGGGGACTTTGTGCTGGGAAAAAAGATGGACACAGTATAGGTAGGCCGTCAGGTGGTGGTTTTTGGGGAGCTTCTTGGTGCATGCTCGGAGGAGACCTGCTGTAAGAGAGCGTCTTTCTCTTACTGTGATGCTATGGAATTGTTTTGCGGCCTCTCTGTCTGACTCAATTTTACTGGGCAGGCAGAGCTGTGCAATGTTACTATTATATACAGCAGGGGCAAGAAGTTACTTTTCTGAGGGTCATTTGTTCCCGATGACCGACACTTGTTGGAAATTTGACTTGCTTGCCACATGGCCAGTACACCAATGGAAGACAGGAAACCTCGATGGTTTCCTCGTCGAGTCCCTACATATGTCTCGTCCTCTGGTGTGTGGCGACTCCGGCTATTCAGGCTGAGCTCTTGGTGGAGCTCTGGAAACAGTATGATCTCAATGCAGCTGAGCATCCAAGAGTGCGAGAAGAGAAGGGAGGGAAAAACACACCTGGTTGCGGAAGAGATCAAAAGAGCCTTTTTTAAACACTTCTTCTGACTTCTTCTAGTGCCTGGTGGGACCATCAATGGATCAACCCAGAGTTGGGCCCCCTGCTGCGTGGTTGGTGGCGTTTAGGCAGGGAGGAAACGACCTCAGTCTGGGCTTGGACGAATAAACCACCTGGCCTTTAGTATCAGGACCTCAAACAGCAAACAGCATCCCCGTATTCCCAATACTGCAGGCCATTTCCATCATTTTTCATTTTGCCAATTTGGGTTGTGAAGATGAACGATGCGAGGACTATTTGAAGATGCACGTCAATGGCCTCCCTGGGTGGTTTGGCTTCAAACCTCGGCTGTGTCTCTTTCACTGTCCGAACAGGTGGCCATGATCCGAAGCCCACAAACAACAGAGGAGGGTTCATTTGGCGGTTCTCCACTTGCTGCACCAAAGCATCCACACAAACCACATCGACACCTGGCAGAATCTTCCGACTCCGCTTGGCCGACTCACTTGCTGAGGTGAGGGTGGAGAACCTCACCCTGGCGGAGCACATGGCCTCCGCCAAGCGCACCTCGCTACCGTCACCAGCGGCGATCATCAAGGGGGTGCCTTCGGTCGAGGTGACGGGTCGCTGCCGGAGGAGGGACCGGAGCGAGCGGGCGGAAAGGGCGATGAAGGAGGTGGAGTGCTTGGAACAAGCTGGGGGGGGCACAGCTTCTTGTAGGAAGGGAGATGATTGCCAAGTACAGAGGGGGGGGGAAAGATTTGTGGAGAGCCACGGTTTGGTGGCCCTTGGATCTTGGATGGACCAAGAAGTCAAGAGACCTTTGACCGCAGCGGCTCCACCGACCGAGCCATGGATCTTGGCTCGGACCGGCCGGCCGTGTGTCTTCGGACGGTCCCAGCGGGTCCCGGCCCGGTGGACTGAGGACATGGTGGCCTGGATCATTCAGGATCACCTATACCACTTGAAATCTCCAGGTGCCTCGGTCGCCTGGAAATGGCCGAGGCCAGCCATCATGGCCGAGGAGCAGGGAGCGGGCTGATAAAGCAGGGAGGGACTCGCGCCGCACTGCAACTGGAACTCGCCGCACTGCTGCGAGTTTTTCCAGGGTTTCGCGAGTTCCATGCCGAGGTTCGCCGAGCGAGTCCTTCGCTGGCGGCTGCCTGCAAGGGCTCATGGCGGCCTTGGGGGTCTTCGGGCGTGCGCTGCATGTGCTGGGCCAAAGTCCCACCATGAAGGTGTCTGGTCAAGAAGATCGACTCTCCGATTTAACTGTGGACAAGGGTATAGCTTGGTATGACTCTACCTGCCCAATCACGCTAGCGACGCTAGATCGTTCCTTTTTCAAGCTGGCTTGGTGGGAGGTCTTTGATTTGAAGGGTTCGGCCCATCACACGGCGGTTGCTATGCATTATGGTAAGATATAGAGAGTGCAGTTCTTCTCCTCCCCCTTTGGGGTTGAGGACAAACAAGGCTTCTGAAATGTCAGTATGGCAGAGACGACTCAAAACGGATGGGTACGGGTGGCAGGTTTTGATCCCCAAAAGCAAGTAGGGGAAGATCCCTTACCTTTTAGCTCTTGGAGCGCGGTGAACTGATGGTCAGGACAGCCACATATCATGACCCCCTTCTGTGAATCATCCTGGCGGTTTTGCACATGTCTCAGTCAACATGTGGATGGTACTGAACCCCCTTCAAACCAAGATGCCCTCCAAAGTTTGGAGCCATGCTTGGGCCAAATATTGTACCACATTGTGCTACCAAATTCAAACACAAAAGCTGTTCATAGAGGGTCCCTTCCAGATCTGTGATGGCAGGAGAAGTCTTCATCGTTGACTATAGTTCCTTCACTTGGGACACGTGAGTACACGCAACATCGGATTTGATGGGGTGGATGGACCACGACACCGGGTGGACCGCGGGAGGACCCTCGCCTCGGACGGTGAGTCAGGTGGGCGATGAGGACGGCTTCCTGCTGTGGCGCCTCGAGATGGGCCGCTCGGAGCACCCGAAGAAGCGCAGCGGGCGCGCTGCTCGTAGAAACGACCAGCATCCGAAGGTCAGAAGTGAGAGCTGCTACTGTAAGAAATGGTCTCCGGGTAATCTGACCTCGCGCTTCAAGGTTTCCGGAAATCATCCTGTTCGTAGAGCTCAGCAGTTCGCAGTCGCAGTTGCCATGCCCTCCGAGCCATGAACGGCTTGACCTGGGACGAGGGTCGGACCCGTCGACGGCGGAGGAATCCGCTGAGCCTCTGAGGATTCCTGATAGCTGGAATGCTGCTGGGGGAAGGCTTGAGCTTGCTGGACCTCACCTCCGCACCAGGTTGGCCTGGATTGAATACACGCCCCCGGGCACGGACGCGGTTGCGTGGAAGTGGGTGGGCAACTATATATAACTATTAAGATCGATTAAGTAAATGCTTCCAGCTATGCAACTATCAGGGCGTTGCGTGCAGCCTCGGGAGGAGAAGTCAGGTCAGCTGCCCTTTCAAGAGGGAACAAAAAACGGAACAGTTGGAGTTCCACTCTCCAAAAAGACGTAAGTCGTCGCCCTGGGACGACTGGCCCTCCCGTCCAACCCGAGCCCGAGCCAAGGCTTCTTCGAGCAGCTGCTCCACCGCCCCCTGAAGCCGGGCGACTTCAACCTCCCCGCCGGCCGTGCCGAGGAGACCGCCGTGCTGGGTGCGCCAGTGCGCACGGCAGACCCCAAGCCCACGCGGATGCCGGTGCCCGAGCGCCTGCACTGTGCCACCGACCCCCAGGGCGTCACTAGCTGGGGGAAGGTGGCCAATGCGCGGATGGCGGCCAGGGGGCATGCGCTGCGCGTGGCCACCGAGAGTTTGCCTGCCGGGGTGCCGTTTCCTTGGAGGCAGCTGGGGTTCCCCTACCAGGTGCCAAATGAGGTGAGAGAGCCCTTTGTGCCAGGGTGGGCGAGACAGGTGAGGATGTTGTCCATCATCAGCAACCATGGCGCATTGGATCTGGAAATTCCCGAGTTGCTCCGACATCTTTTCCCCCAGTGGCTTGATGTGCGGTTTGTGCTGGGTGGCTCGAGTCAGGGGAAGATTTGCGAGAAGACCGACGCAAGGCAGTGATAGTTCGTTCAGAAACATTTTTTGCTCCTTGTGCATTTGTCCTGTCACATTGCCCGGATTTCCACCTGGCCCCTATGGCCTGGAATCATCGTGGACATAGTGGCCTACCAGCTAGGGCAATATGAACTGTGGTTGTCATATTTTGCGACGGATGACATTTTGCTAAACTTTGACCATGCCCGTGGTGGACATGGTCGTTTACTTTCTACAGCTCTGTCTTCCGTCGCTCCACCGAGGAAGGCTCCACCGTGGTCGACGCCCTCTGCGCCCGCCGCGCGGCCTCGCGTCGCCGCGCGGCCACGCGCCGCGCGCG